ATATATTTATACAATCCCTTATTTTAAGGGATCACATCCTAGGATTAGTATCTTTCCTTTCTTAAGTGTTTCCTACTTTAGAGAGATAATTTGTATATAAAGATGTAATTTGTCCTATTGAAAATAATATGAAAATAAAGAGAATTAAAACCCGTAATTGAATGAATTTATTCATTTTTTCGAATCAACTTGAATAAGCTTTTCGGTTTTTTTGTTAGAGTCGATATGAACTTTTACAATTCGAATATCCGAAAACTGATTAACAAATTGGTGTATATACTCACTCATTGTATCACTGACAATTTTGAAAATGAGCAAATCGGTCCCTCTCAACAAAAAAATTCAAAATAATCTTCAAACTTTAAAAAACAATTATAAAAATCTATCCATAAATTTATAAAAAATATATATATATAAGAAGCAAATAAATATATAAAAATATATAAAATGTGAAAGTAGCAATATTATAGAAATCTTTTAAGATGTGGAGCACAATACTAAAATGACTGGCTATAGAACCAAAAGAGCAGATACGATGGAGAGGCGTTTCCTCAGTTCACTTTGATAAGCTCATTACATAATAGTACTCTTAGCATGTTCTAACAATTCAAATTTGTATTACCTTCTGGAATTTAACAGTCAAATTCGTAGAAACCAACTAGTTATTAGTACATGTAGATATATAACAGGTCATGAACCATTCATGTCTCACAAAATCCAAAGCCATACACCTCATATATCATTTTTAGTCAATTTCTTTTATCTTTCTCTCTCCCAGACTTTCATTTTGAATTGTTACAGCATATAAAGAATACTCCACTTCTTTTTCTGAAGTATATTATGAAAATTTCTTATATCCATAACTCTTTGCCAAAATTCTACACACCTAAGTCTACAATTAGATTTAAGGAGTTAGGTCAAAATCAGAAACCTAAACAAGGAAGGACAGAGAGCATAAAAGGAAAAGACAAACCTGTCCATCAGGAAGGGTATGTTCCTCTGTCTCGCATGTTCTAAGCATTCTGTCATAAGCAACTTCATCCTCAGCACAACTTGCAAATTGCTCTTTTAGTTTCTCAGCATCAGAGATGCTGAGGTTCACCATAGGATTTGATTTACCCAGCTCTTGAGCAAGTAACTTTGTTAAATCACTACCACCGACTTCAAATCTTCTCGAGGCAATGTGTTGGACAGCACCTTCAAGTACCGCAGCTATGTCTGTTGATAGAAGTCCAATTCACATGGCAGAACAATCAATTAAATAAACAAAAAAGCATTTGCAGGCTTGCAGCTTAAAGCCAATTGAATGTAACTCCCGACATATCATCCGCAGCTAACTTCCAATTCTATGCCGTAAATAAACACTAGACCAGCTACATTCTTATGCATTTGAAAAAGAACTAGAAAGACAGCTTGCTGGTCATATTTCCACTTCTATGAGCCAAAAGACTTGAACATCACATTCTTAAAAGGCGTAATGGTACATACCTATCTTCCCATGACCAATATCAACAGTGCAACCTGAGATACGCCCGACAGCATAGAGAGATAACACTGCTTGCTCTGATGCATAAAATCCCGAGACATTAAAAGTTTCAAATAGCAATTGCACCAGTTGTTCCCTGACAGCCTGGAGAAGGATTACTTTTAAGGAGCAAAAAAAGTATATTGATTTTGCACCATTTATTCGCATGGTAATCAACCTCAAACAGTAAAAAAGTTGGCTAAAATTATAAAAGAGGTTGTAACAGAATTGTAGGTAGACTTGATCTTAGGTTGACTGTAAGCTATACCTAACATAGGTGCAAGAGTACAACAAATTATACCCACAAACAGCAACAATGCATGGTTCATAGTGCATGTTTGACTCAACTTCTGGAGCATCTTATTAAAAAAAATGAAGATGAACAAAAAGGGTTCACAATCTTCTAAACAAATTCAAGTTGACAGCACTTTGCAGCATGTAAAACACCTCCTCTGGCAGCTCCAAACTGGGTCAAACATGCTTCAATTCTTTGAAATACCTCATTAGAACTCAATAAAATGGGGATGGCTGGGAATATGGGGAGGTACAAAATGATTTAACAGTTGCTAAATCCCTTCTACAATTAAAAGCCATGATTATAATAGATACCATTGATCTACATTTGGGGGATAAAAACCTGCCATAGTATGTTTTCTCTCATGAATATGAAAAATCAACCTTAGAACTGCATAATGTGAACATCAAGATTAGCAAGAACAGATAAAGGCAACTAACCTTGGGAGTACAAAGTGGTTCAGTAAACAAAATTTGTCCTTCATTCCCAACTTCCCATTCAAGACCAGTGTATAGAACATGGTGCAACAAATCTTCCATTGCATCCCAGTCTTTAACGCATCCTTGCACGACGGGGTCAACAGTGACATCTTCAGACATTGAATTATCAACAGAGGATCCATCGTCCAGCATGCGTTTCATTTGAGTAGGAATTATCTGACCACAATTCAAATAATACAAATTGTCAAACCCCAAACCCACGGAAGCAAATTCAACCAAAGTGAAGAAAAAATTAAGAGAAAAAAATAACTCTTACTCAAACCTTGTAAAGAAAGAGATTAGTAAAGGAAAAGAGAGGGAGATAGACATTTCAAGCTATCCCCAAACCAAAAGCTACATTTTGGTTGGGTTGATGTTTCTTTAACTATTATCATTAAGGAGGTTTCGAAATAAACAAGCATACCAAGGATGGAGCCTGATCTGGGATAGCGAATCCCGCCTTGAGAATCTTGGAGCCAGCATCGACCACTGCCGCCTCCATTAGACCGCAAAGAAACGAGCCCCAAAACCAACACCCTAATTGCCAGTCGATGGATGGGAAAACCCTAGATTTGAGGTCTAGGGTTTTAGTTAGAACGTTTTTAATGTTAAAGCTCTTTCTTCACTTCAAAATGGATGATGTAGTTTGAAGAAGCACTTCACCTGTTACAGCTACTATTGCTATTTAGGTTAAAGTAACTAAATGGTCTCTTAACTATCAAGACGTATTAAATTAGTCATAAAATCTTCTATACAATTGACTTATTTAATTTTTAGGTGCTTATCAATTTATTCATTATTAATAATAAAATTTGTCAATTTTAATTATTAGTGTTCGATTTCTTAATAAGACGTCGATTAGGGATCGTAAACGAACGAATCAATACAGATACTCTTTCCTCCATTCTCATACTACTTACTATTTTTGTATCTATCACTTACCTATTACCTATAATGAATAAAGTTTTTAAATCCACATTATCCACGTGAATACATTCTCAAATTTATCCCAACACCTACTATCCATCTGGATGCCCATCACCCATTTCATACCCACTTGTTCCGTCCATACCTGCCTGACAGCAACCTTATAGATCACCTTAATAATAAAATATAAAACAAATGTATCAATTAAGAAGTATAATAAAATAAAATAATTATTAATTTAGTTTTTATCTTAACATTTGGTTAAATTACAAGTCATATCCTATAAAATCTTAAGATTTATAGAATAGTATCTGAAATTATATCTAAATTCATAATGGTCTAAAATTTATATTGTGGGTAACTAGTGGGTGAACGGATGTGAGGTCGGCAAATGCGGAATGGATAAGATCTTATATCCATCACATACTCATTACCCACGGCGAGTATGACTTTTTACATCTACACCCGCCCACTACCCACTAAACTTATAATTATATATGCTCAAATTGGAACAGATGTGAAATGAAATCTTTAAAAGTATACCCATTTGTCATCCCTAATGTAACTTGATTTTAAAATATATTTTAAAATTATTATGAGTGAGCGTTCGATCGAGTCAATTCGAGTAAAAAAAATTCAAGTTATTCGAGTTGACGGGTCCTATTTTACAACTCATAGTTGACTCGAAATTTTTTTCGTGTAGAGTCGAATTTATAAAATTCAAGTCGAGTTGAATCGAGTCATATTTTTGAGTTTCTGTTTAAATTTAGTTATAAATATTTATGATATTATTTGATTACAATTTAAATAGTTTTTCTATTATTATATACAATACATATATATAACAACCCATTCTTGTGTAATTTTTTATAAAAAAAATATAATACATATATATTTCTTTCATATGTAATATACATATACCATACATAATTGAAGTACTCGACTCAAACTTGAAAATTTATCCACTAATTACTAAAAATTTTGAGTTATTCGAATTGTATTTTACAAATCTATTTGAACTTTAAATTTTTTCGAGTCGAGTCAAACTTATGAAATTACAAATTGAAATCATTTCGAGTTGAATTTTTTCAAATCGAATCAAATTGAAAAAACTGCTTTTTCAAATCGAGTTTTGTACTCCCCTAAAAATTGTCAATTTTAAAATATATGTAGATAAGATATTTATAATATATTTTGACGTAAAGTGACATGTTATTAAAAGATTTATGAGTGATGATAAAAATAAGGATGAATCGCCTATTTGTGTCACCCTCCAGTTATTTAATTTTCATTTTGGTTATTCAATTATTATTTTTCTAAAATCATACTTTAATAATTATTCAAAATCATACTTAATGTTATGTTTAGACGTGTTTTAGTCACCCGTCGTGATACTAACGTATTATCATAAGAAAATGTCACACCGGTATTGAAAAATAATTAGAATTATCACATCAATATCTTCGATAATTTTTTAATAACCGGTGACCAAAACAAATATTAAGTAATGTGAGTGGCCAAATATTAATATAGCAGTAACTTCTAGTATTTATTTAAACAGTATAAATATTTACTATTTCCCAATATTAGAAGTATTTATCTGAAATTTGGATACCATGGAGAAGGTTGGTTTTTAGGAGAACGAAATATGAAAAAAAACATTAAAGGGGGAAAACAGAAATCTGATCCATAACAAATATAAAGGCCATACTCTGGCTCAAGTTCCCTTTCAATTCTAGTCCACAGCGTATAGCAATCAGCGAGCAACTAGGAATCACACTAACAATCAGTAATGTTCTATTAACTTCCAATTATTAACAGTCAAGATTAAGTTTCCGAAACACAAACTACGAGTATTTACAACATGATGTAAAGCCAGTACTTGTGTTTCATATAAGGCTTGTTACCCCAACTTCATGGTCGCTACATGCAGGATAATCCAACTTTTCAAACTCCGGATCCACTGAATCATGCGAAGTCGGCTCCCCATCACCTACAGAAGCATTGTGATCGCTCCATGCACGATAATCATCCAGGTTTTCAACCTCCTTTTATGTTACAATAGAGACGAGGGTACACGAAACCTGAATGAAATCACTCATATCACCTAGGTGAACTCTCTTTCTCACTATGCTACTAACTCGGAACACCATTCAAATTATGACGACTAATGCCACAACCCTAAGAAGATTGGAAAACTGTATACGCATGCTTATGTAGGACCGACACCATTTTTCAAAGTTCAGACTGGCACGGCCACACTGCGTAGAGCAACAGTCATCAGGTGCTTTTCTCCTCTACCATCATAATTAAGCGGAACCTTTTTACTCCTTCCGCTGCCTGCGGACTTTCACAAATCTTCTAGTAGACTTGTCAACACCGCTGGATCCCAATGAGAAGCTCCCTCCAGCACCAAATTCCTGACTGCTGGAAGCCTGAAATGGAGATGGATTATGTGATGTGGTTGGTTGGGCTCCAAATTGAAACGTGGCTCCTGCTGTGTATGATGCACCAAAAGGAGACCCCGATGCAGGAGGTGAGATTAGCGGTTCACCAAATGTTGGAACAGTTGGTGCAGTTTGAGCAGTGTCATCTTCCATAGTATCCTCCATTTGATCATTATTACTAGATGGAGTTAACCCAAACACCAAGCCTGAACTGGTGTTGCCAAACACATTCTGCGATGGAGTAGCACCTGCAGCTGGAGTTGACCCAAACACCAAGCCGGGACTGGTGTTAGCAAACACGGACTGCGATGGCATAGCAACTGCAGCAGGAGTTGACCCAAACACCAGGCCCGGATTGGTGTTACCAAACACAGACTGTGAAGGCGTAGCAACTATAGCTGAAGTGAAAGAAAATATGGAGTTTGAGGAGGCACCAGTGGACGACCCAAAGAGAGCAGGTGCAGTGCTAGGAGCAGTAACAGAAGCTGATGATCCAAAGGAAAAATTACCAGCTATCGGCCATGCTGGCTCCCTTTCCTCGACAGAAATCAACTTCCACTCTTCACCAGGTTGGGAACCATCATCACTTTTTTTAGAGCAAGATGCAGTAGTATCTGTGACTTGCATGTCGGACAAAAGGGCTTCAAGGGACAACTTGCTACTGGAGCTGTCTTGAGAAGAAAACTTTACATCCAGGATTGGAGTTTCAAAATCCACTACAGAAGAAGCATATGATAATTCCAGAAAGTTCTGAAGGATCTCTTCATGTGGACCTTGTTTAGCTACTTCGGCTTTAATTTCCTTGTTTCCAGGAGCTCTTTCCACATCAACATCAGAAGCATCATCAACATGATTTTCAAGGTATTCTAACAGGATATTTACTTCATCAAGAACCAAAATTTTGCCTGTTGCATTGTTAACCTCCCCATCTCCTATGTCCCCTGCTATCTGGTTTTCATGTTTGGCTGAAGTTTCTATGCGTTCAACCGTGTCATGGCAAGAACTTTGATTTTGACAGTCTTCAACAACTTCCTTAGCTGCTTGCTCAGAATCATCGTCATTAAGAGAGCAAGTCGCCTCCCGGATCCTCTCTAAAGAACAGTTTGAGGGCACTGATGCTGTCATTGAATCGTTTCCATCTCTTGTGTCAAGGCAGCTAGGTTCAGATGTTACTTGAAAATGTGATTCTGGTGACACCATTTTATCGATACTATCATCTTCTTCAAGTGAAAATTCAGGAGCTTTTACAACTTGAGTATAATTCTCTGGTTCTTTGGAAGTTGAAGAAAGGAAGTTGGCAAGGGCAGATGCTAATGCAGCATCAACTGACACAGACTTCTTTGGTTTATCATCGGAAGAACCAGTTTCCGATGCATGATTATCTTCCTTGTCATCAGCATTAGAAAAATCAGGCGCAGTGACAACAAGACTTGGTAATGGCCGAGTACCATGTACAGAACAAAGAGTTTCATCAAGTTGGTTAGTTGATGAAATATCCTTCTCATGTGATGCATATATCTCATGCACTGAAGATTCATTTCCAATGTTAGAAGAGTAATTATCTGAATCATGGCATGAAAATTCAGGCGCGTAGAATCCTGTGCAAGTTGGCAATTCAGAATTCTTAGGGTTCTTAGTGAGTTCTCCAAGCTGTTGCTCTACACGCTGGAGCCTTGCATCAATGTTGTTTATGGGCTTTAGCATGTTCTCTTCAAACTTTAATAGGAGATCTTCTACTCTGCTGATTCGAGAAACAAGCTCATTCAGGAATCTCTCAGAATGCCCACATGCTACTTCAGCCTGGGATGCTCCAAGTTTACCTTGGGGTATCTCATGTTGATTCAGTTCAGTAGTTGCTGCAATCTCTTCCTGCGAGTTCAAGTCCTGTTGATTGGCTAAACTGGGTTTTACTTCTTGGTGGGTTTCATTTCTAAAATTTAATTGTTCAATGGCCTTTGACCCATTTTCTTGTTTCTTTTCCTTTTTCTTTGTGCCAAAAACCTCTTCATTTTCTATGCGGCGAAGACCTGCTGTTTTAGATAATTGCAGTAGTGTGGGAGCAAGCATGGCCATAAGAGAATTTCCTCCTGCATTTCCCATCTGACCGACTTCAGTTTCTGAATCAGCTACATCAACAAGATCAGCAAACACATATATTTCATCAACACAAACACAGCCTTTGTTCTGAAGCGAAAGCAAACGGAGAGTAATAGAAATGCAGGGGTTGGCATCATTGATCTCAGCAGTAGCCTCGTATAAATCCTGAAAAGTTTCATCGATCAGAAATGGATTAAAATTAAGACACACATATTACTCTATGCAAGTGTTACTCTGTAAATCTTGTATTGGTATCTTACCCGGAAAGGATAAAAATTGAAAAGGGGAAAGAAAGGACTATCTCAGGTTCTTATTTCTCCCTTAAAACTAAGCTACGTTGCAACTATGTTCTAAACCAACTCCAACTTACAATTAAAATTATTCAGTACTTTTAACTTGGCTCGTTAATTATTTTCATATCTTTGACCAATTTCTTCACTACTTTTGCATTCAAATATTGCTTCCCTATTCTATTCTCTTGAACATGCATAACAGTATAAGTTCTATTTTTTTTCTCCAATTTCCCATGTAGTCCACTCCCACAGACCACAGCTACACCAATTGCATGGAAATAGAACAATGTAACCCTTTTACCTTTTGAAAATACAAAGAACAAACAGTTAATACTATAGATACAAGGAAAATGGTAAATAATGAAGCCTTGCTTGGGTGAATCTACTATTAATACTTAACGAGGGATGGGTAACTCACCTGTGTGCTACTTGAGTTCACAGTGGAATTTGATGGCACATTGCTCCTACTATCAAGCAGAGGAGTATCAGGACCTTTCACTTCAACCCAATCATTTTCAGTGGAGGTGGAATTGCTATCACTCTTCAGCCTCTTTTCATCCAACACTGTATTACCTCCTTTTAGATGAGCCATTTCAGATTCATCAAAATTGGCTGCTTGAAGCACCTCTTCATCTCTACAAGCAACACCACATCGAACAGTACAGAGATACTCATTACTGCTCTGATGTTTAGGAGCACAATACATTTCATATACTCGAGCAGTACTTCGGACATAAACCTGTCTAACTTCGTGGCTTTGTGCAAACGCAACTGCAAGCATGAGATGATTTACAAAAGGCAAGTCAGGAAGAATACAAAATTTTGGAGGAGAAGGATAATTTGTGGAAATATTCACCTCGCTTGATTTCATTCTATTTCAAAATAAACTCTCACCAATCAAGTTCGGATGTAATCTGATAAATACTAATAAATAATGCTAATAAAATTCACGTCGTAAAGAATAAGTAGCTTCCCTGATTTAAATCAAAAGGTTTAATATTTCATCAAAAGAATGAAAACCCAATGACCTAGCACGATCAACCAACACCGTAATATCATATTACTTACTCGTAATCTCGCAGGGGCCGGAATCAGATGAAGTAGGGCACAAGATAAGTGGGGAACTGGGAGCGGAATCGACGGCGTTTGGGTCATCGACGCCGAGCTCGTGTTGATCGCATCCGGTGATTGGCGCAATTGTTGATTCAAAGATAACGGAGTTACGGAGAGAACCATCGGCGATGGACCAGTTGGTGGAGGACTTCCAAGAAGTGTCGTAGTCGCCGGCTGCATCCATTGTTGTACCGACTTCGATGAATTTCTTGGATTTTGAATCTGTTTCGTAAGGGACGGGGAATTTATAGTGTGATATGTAGCGATGGTGGTAAAGTCGAAATTTAATTGTGACTTAAATATCAATTAAGTTTTATAATTTTCAGGGTTCTTAATAATTTTTAAAAGATAAATTTCATTTAATTAAATAGTCAAAATAATAAATTTAAGGATTGTTCTTATATTTGATAGTGGATGTAATATTAAGATAAATTTCAGTTTAAATTCATTTAATTTAAAATATAATTATAATAACCTATTTGATATTTAAAATTTTAATTAATTTAATTTCAATTTCATTTTTTGATCTATTAAATAATTAAATTAATAATTATTAAGTTGGTTTTATATTTTTTATATTTGTTTTATTATGCACAAGGTCTGTGTTACCTCCAAAATTTTAACTAACATATTCTTTATTAGAAGTGTAATACATCTTATAAATTATAATTGTATAAGCCATTTATCGGTAAATTACATACAACAAATGATGGGCGGATCATAAAGGTGGTGGCAATTTCGGCCTAATATAGTAGATTGGCTAAATATTTAGGCTAATACGATATTAAATATTTTATTTTAAAGATTACGATATTTTTATAGTGATTTAGAAATTATTATGTGGATATGACGAATTCAAATAAAATATAATTTATTTGTTAAAATTTATTACTTCGATGTGATAAAATATAATAAAAAATTATATATTATTAAAACTCGTCACTTTGACGTGATGAGTTTGAATAAAAAATATTATTCGGACAAACTCGTCGTGTGAGCATAATGAGTTTGTCTTGTAGAATTCATATTAATTTGGTAAAACTACTCAATTGGTCACTTAACTATGTATCCCTTTTATTTTTGTCACCAATCTTTTAATTTTATGAATCACACCACTTAACTATTTAATTTGTTCGATCAGACCACTAGTCGTTAATATTTGACTAAAATGTTGACATGGTAGTTAAAAGAATTGGTATATTTCTACATTTAGTCCTTACTATTTATATATTCTCTCAATTTGGTCATAATTTAAATATATTTTAATAAATTAATCATTTAATCAGGATCTGACATGTGTCAGTACAAGAACTTAACACGTGTCAATACATGGTGTCAATACATGATTGAATGATATTTTTTATTAATTTAAATTCGTTTAATTAAATAATTTTTTATCTAATCAGAAGGTGAAATGTGTCACCACCCGATTGGGTATAAAATAAAGGGATGATTTTACTCTGGGGTGGAATCACACCTGGGACTAAAGGTTGAATAAACAACCCCAACCACTACACCAAACATCTCAATGATTTATTTCTTACAACAAATTATATTTATCCTTTTAAATCTTGATAATGTTAAAAGAAAATATAATAAAAATAAATTAGAAGTAATATTTTTAATATTTAATTTGAGTTAATCTATTAATAAATTAAGTACTGTTGATTAAAAATTATTTTTTAAATACTTTACATCAAAATTATTAAAAATGTACATGCTCTGATAAATTACAACCTTCACCCCATAGCCCATTCCCAAACTAGGAGCAATACGGTGCCTCAGTTGTGACAGACCTTTGCAGTACGCATGGTGACACAAACAGCATTATATGCCTTCTTGGCCTCGGCGCAGCCACATTTAGGCTCCGCCATCGCCACCCCCGCAACCGAGCAAAGAGCAGCAGCTGCAGCCGCAAACATCAACTCCCTCCTCCCATTGTCGAACACTCTTTTGCTCTCACCACCACTTAGCCGGACACTCCGTTTCACCTCCTTTAGCAGCGTTGGCTACCACCACGAGTCTCCGGTGACCGATTCTAGGGGAACCTTTTGTGAGGTTAGTGGCGCTGAGGAATGGTGCAGTCATGGTGATGGAAGCCTTTTTTGTTTTTGTTTTCTGCAGGTGCCAGTGGGTTCTGATTAAATTTGTGAGTCATGGGAATGTAGGCGAATATGAAATGAGGCGCATATAAATATGAATCCTATCGGAAGAAGATTTTAGACCAATAATGGAGTGACACATCATTCGTACTATCTAAGTCAAATGGTTTACATTAGAGTCCCTTAGGTGGAGGTGGAATCCATTTTTACAAATGGATTGGAGTTTGAAGGCCAAAAATGAAGAGAAAGCCTACCTCTCCCTCTAGATAACCCTTTGGTTCTCAAGGTGAAGAAAGGATAAAAGATACTATTTTCTTTTAAAAAAATGGGATTTTTCAAGTGAATCTAATTAAAATAGAGGCATGAAGCACTGCCATCAAACCTTTGGTGGATCAAGCCTAAGCCGAACACCAAAGCACCCAGGGCCCTGCAACTCTTGGGCTAGTACAACCGGAGCTAATTTCAGGGCAGGAACAACAATGAAAACCAAAGAAAAGGAAATTGCAAAGAAAAAAGGAAATGAATAAAATCATGAAAACAAATGGTACCAACTTGAAATTACTCTCATCATAGTTGTACGCAATAGCAAGCTCATTGGCTTCTGCTAACTTCTCTAATTTACTCCCATCAATGTGAAGGACGATAGGGTGCCGTTCAGGAGAATATGCCAAGTACTTGTCCTGGGCATGAAAAAAACCCAAAATACACCAAATTAACAGTTTTAGCAACAACCAACAACCGGTTGGTCTAGTAGGATGAGACACCAGATTTCTTAAGCAAGATCAGAGGTTCGAACCTTAGCGTTTCTGAATTGAGCAAACTAGTATAAATTGAAACAAAAATCAAAATTCAATACTATAATTGACAAAATTGAAAGTTCATTGATATAAATGATACAACACCTAAAGTTCGATGATATTTGAGTAGTTTACCCTAGATTTGATTACGTACCTACACAAACGAGGATGATATGACTTTAGTATTCATAGAAAATGTGCAAGGTTTTTTAAGGATAATATAATGAAAAGGTATAAATGACGAAGTCATCCAAGAATAAGCTGAAAGCTTCACCATTTTTTTAACGTGACAAAGCCTACTCCATTAGGTACCTATCTAGGATGGATCAAGGGACTGGTGGGGACAATCATCCCTATTAAAATTTTAAAATAATCTTATATTTTATATATTTTTTTATGTATTTTTATTGAAAATCTATTTTCGACTCTTGAAATTTTATAAATTTAAAGTTATCCCTTCGAATTTTATAAGTTCAAGTTCACTCCCCTTACCATAAAATTCCGCGTCTGTCCCTATACTTATCCATTATACCTGCAATAGCTAAAAAAAATTTGCTACTGCTCACTTAACGACAAACATGAAATATATATGAATCAATTTTTTAACATTTTTTTACTTGCATACCATTTTTTAACATAGATCGAAGTGTACAATAAGCACGATCTTGTTAAAATTTGATTATGTGTTTTAGACATACTTGTGTGTTTTAGTTTAAAGGCATAACAGGCCGCTCTGTCCTAAAAACTCAATCCACTTCTGTGTGTGGTTCAGATTCTTTCCATAACTGAAAACCCGCCATCATCTTCCTTCTTTGATAATTGTTTTTTCACGGTACTTTCCATGGCAACTCTAAGCTTTAATCCCCCAAGACTCAAATCCCTATCGCTCCAATCTCTAAAACCAATCTCAAAATCACAGTTTTCCACGAAACCCAACAACGTATCATTCCTTTTCTCATCTAAAAACCACCAACAGCTCCACCGTTTTAAACCAAACTCTGTATCCGAAAGCTCGGTATCAGTGCCGAAAGAAGCTTTCGATGAAGGTGAAGAAGACGATCCAACTTCAGAACTGAGCTATCTTGACCCGGAGACCGATCCCGAAAGTGTTACAGAGTGGGAGATGGATTTTTGCTCGAGGCCAATTCTGGATATTAGAGGGAAGAAGATATGGGAACTCGTGGTGTGTGATAGTTCGCTTTCACTTCAATATACCAAGTATTTCCCCAACAATGTTATCAATAGTATCACTTTGAAAGATGCTCTTTTGACCATAAGTGAGGATTTAGGTGTCCCTTTGCCAGAAAAAGTTCGGTTCTTCAGGTAAAGTTTTACTAATTTTCTTGTAACGTACGTTAATATTCCCTATATTGTTGGTTAGCATAACGAATTATCATAATTGGCTTATGTTTTGTTGGATTTATAGGTCACAAATGCAAACCATAATCACAAAGGCATGTAAAGAGCTTGGCATAAAGCCAGTTCCAAGTAAACGGGTGAGTTTCTGTGTTTTGCATCTTGCGGTTTCTTACAAGTTACTGATTATAGCTATAAAGCTCAGTTTCCACCTTCAAATTGCAAATATGAAAATCAGGGGTGTAAATAAACAAAATGTTCGATAAACTATTCATAAATTGTTTGTAAACTATTCGCTAAATGAACCAGTATGAACAAACAAATTCGTTTTTTGCCTTGTTTATAAACTTATTTATCAACTCGTTTATCCAATTCATTTAAACCCCTAACGAAAATCCATATTCTTACGTTTGATGGTTAGTCTTTTTTCAGTGTCTGTCACTGCTACTTTGGTTGGAAGAACGTTATGAGAGTGTATATATGCGCCATCCTGGTTTTCAAAAAGGTTCCAAGCCACTTTTGGCTTTAGATAACCCTTTCCCAATGGAACTTCCAGAGAACTTATTTGGAGAAAAATGGGCATTTGTGCAGTTACCTTTTTCAGGTATATCTTTCACATTTAATGGCGTTTCAAAATAACATATCTGGAATTGTCTTCATTTCTCAACTAAAATGTTAGTAGTATTTTGTTCAATATGCTCTCTTTTGACATCGTTCTCTCGATTATAGTTGTTCGAGAGGAGATTTTGTCCCTGGACGAAAGGTTTGTGTTTGGTGCTGGTTTAGATTTGGATTTACTGGGTATTGAAGTAGATGACAATACCTTGATTCCAGGACTTGCAGTGGCTTCTTCACGTGCACAACCATTAGCAGGCAGGTTTAATCTATTTCTTCCAATGAAACCATAGCCTATTTAATAATGAGGATTTCTTGAAAACTAAATTTGAGGGCCAATGAAAAACGTGTTGGTT